CTCCCACATGACACCTGTGGGGAGTACGGATTGGACTATGGGATGGGGTTACCAAGGGGAGGGGGGGTGGGTCACATATTGATATCTATGATTACGCGTGCTTTGCCTCAGATCTTGCTTTGCCTAGCTGCTATCTACTCATGACCAGTAAAAGTACTCTTGATTCTACAAAATGGAGTTGAGTGGTTTCTTTCTTGGTTACTGAGGGAGGCCGCTGTGACATTAAGCAAGATCTCAGTTTCACACTCATCCCGGAGCTAACACCTTCCGAGGGGAGTGCAACAACATCCCAAACCCCTGGAGAATGTCCCCCCAAGGCAGCGACCAGGAGGAATATGAGGAGAACCTTATGATGTCTCAGGCTATGAAGCTATTTGAAGAGGCTTGGGAGAGGTGACATTCCCGTCGTAGCCCTGAAAGAGAAGCAGAGCCCCATGAAATGGAGGAGAGGTCTGCAGAGGGCTTGTTTTGCCTGAGAGGAGCCGGGGGGGCAGAAGGTGGAACTGATCAGGATGACCCAGCCACGACCCCACCAGCAGCAGCCAGAAACATTCCAAGAGGGGGAGGGCCCCCTCGCAGACGCCAGATGGCTAAAGTTCCCCCCCTGGGTGTGACGTTTGGGGGAGAATCTAAAGATTTTGTGGTTTTCCTGGGTCAAGTGTGGAATTACATGCAACAGTTTGGAGATGATCTACCAAATGAAGAGGCCAAGGTAAGAATAATTACAATGGCGTTGGAAAATAAGGCAGCTGTTTGGATGGAGGCCCTGAAAAATGCTGACTCCCCCCCTACTGAGAGACTATAAAAGATTTATGGCTGCTCTGAGAAAACGCTTTGATGATTCACTCACGGAACGAAAAGCAAGAACTAAATTTAAAACCCTTACCCAAGGAAACAAGAACTGTGTAAACAAGCCCCCCCCTCCCAGATTGCAGCCTTGCTATGAACTGGCTGCGGAGATGGAGATTGATTTAGCCCGTGACAATTATAGNGAGTCATCCACTGTGACTCTGGCAGCAACTACCTCAGCCTTTTTCCTTTAAAATTTCTTTTTCTTTTTCATGATGACAGTGGTGAGGCCCTGCCGCCCCTGACTGCAGGTCCCTGGATTCAAGAGACAGTTTGGTTAATAAATATTTGCAGCTTCATCAGTAACAAGATTTGCATCCTTGACAGTTCACAAAAAATCCATTAGAAATTGTGAAAGGCATTAATTTTCATAGAGAAATTACTTTTAAATGAGACATAATTCCGGTGCTGAAAGCCTTTCTTTTCAGTAAATCTTGGTAAGAAGATTCTGTGTGATTTGTGGCCGTGAAAAAGGTTGCTCTTTGATCTGAGTCAACTGCCAAGAGCTTGATATTACTGTAAAGTACATTTATTAAAGAGTGCAAATCAGTTTAGTAATTTTGCAAACACTGGCTATTATTGGAATGAAAATGTCTGCTTGACCTTAGACTGCACATGATTTGAAACATTTTGTAAAATATATTTGCCTTCCCAGAAGTCATTATTTTGATTTGATGTGTAGACAGTACATTATTGAGTATCTTCAACTTCCTATCTGATCAATATTAGGTCAGATCCTTTTGCAGCTTACATGTCAATTGTATGGATCTATACATCTGTCCAGAGAAAAATGTCAGCAGAAGTCAAGTGTTTTTTTTTAATCAGCTGCTAAACTGAAAGGGTTCAATCTTTGGTGCTGTTATACAGGCAGTACAGAATTTACTATGGGTTTCATTCATTATAAACATTGGGATCTCCCTTTTATTTGACAGTTGAAACCTCAATTTATCATTAAATTTCATTATCATCTCAGTGTGACCTACTTCCAAACAAATTTAAGCCATTGATCGTAAGGTAAATATTATGTGATATTCCTTTGACCATTAAGCATCAATTTTGTGCAAAAATATGGCATAGCAGTAGTTTAAAAAAGCTGTCAGTACTGAAATTAGAATATTGCTATGCTATAATTTAATTTGTTTACAATTACTTTAATACATGCCAACCAATTCTGGTTTAATTAATAAATAATCAGACTGGCTTAGCACAACTTGCAGATAAGCACACATTGCACTGTATTTTATTCTTTTAGCAAGGGAAAATGCCTTTTTTATTTTGATTAAACTTAACAAAGATTCCTCTGCATTATGTTAGTGTAATATAAAGGGAGATTTAATGTTCGTTTCATTAAGAAGCTAATCACTAACGAGAGCGCTATCAGAAATGCAAAATCTCAGGCTTCCACTCTTTCAACGTGGCCGCTAGGAGTCGAAATAAGCACAATAAGCAGTACGTATCTCTTTGACACCTAAAAGTCATCTGGATTTGTGCAGCTCTAATTCAAAGTCCTCTCTCTTTCAGTCGTGACAAAGAACTGTTACTGATGCAAACTACGGCAGCACTCCGTAAAGTCGAGAGCCAAGTTCTAAACTAAGACAACGAAGGGCGCGCAACGTAACTCCTCTCTCCCATTTACTTGAAGACTACAATTCCCGGCATGCCACTGAACGAAATTCGGGTACGCGTGGAGTTTCAGCAATCAAGCCGCTTTCTTTCGGCGGCGTTGAAGCTTCTGACGCCTAATGTCCTTGTGTCAATTTTCTCCTTTCGGGTTAGCCGAGTTGCCAGGCGCTGCCGCCCCCTCTGCAGAGCAATCCCTCCCGACTGACTGGCTCTTTGCGTTCCTTCGCGTGACAATTCCCGGAGCGGGCGACGATTCCTCACCTAAGCGAACCTATCAACCAGCGAGAGCCGGGAGAAAGAAGGGGGGTGGAAGGGGGAGCGCGCGCAGGCCTCGTTTGTTTTGGCTCGCGCCCGCGCGGTTCCCCGCACGACTTGGCGTGCGGGTGCTCGAACTTCTCGGCCACTGTCCTCGTGCCCGCGCCATAGTTGGCGTTGATCGCAGTGCGCTGGGGAGCCAGTGAGTCACTTGCTCCAGGGACAGCGCGAAGGGAGGCAGGAGGAGATCAACGCAAAGGCAGCGGGTGCTGACCCCGCGCGCTCCTGCGCCCGCGTACTTTGCGGGGCTACGGGGAGGGGGCGACTGCGAGCCTTGCCGCCGCCGCAAGTCCTCCGCGGAAGGCTCCCTCCCCTCCTCCTCCTCCTCCTTCCCCAGCGGAACGTCCTCCCTCCCCACCCCGCCCGCCCTCTCCTTCCTCCTGGAGTCAGAGAACGTGTGAGCAGCGATGGCGGCCGCCGGAGTCCTGCCCAAGCACGAGCAGATCCTGGTGCTTGATCCGCCCACCGACCTAAAATTCAAAGGTACGGTAATAGGAAGGCCGGTGGAGCCGAGAGCGAGAAGGCCGGGAAGGAAACCGTACGCCTTTTCTGCCGGGTCCTTCCCGCGCGCAAGAGCCTGCGGAAGGGAGAGAGTTGAGTGGGGGTAGCCCGAAGAGGCCCGAGCTATTCCTTTGCCGTCCCCCCTCCCCGCACACCCCCTTCTGAGGCCCGAGAAGGAGGTTGGATTCAGGGGAATAGGACGAAGCGCCGCAGTCGCCATTTTGCTCTTCTCTTGTCTTTACGACACCCCCTCCTCCCCGCCTCTCCCGCCCCAATTCCCGGTGGGTTTGCTGTAGTGAGCGGTAAAGGCGGCGGTTCGCTGGCTTTCCCTCCGAAGTCGCCCCTGGTTGCAGCTCCCTCTCAGCGGCTGCTCGAGTTCCGCCAGTGGAAGCGGGGGAGAGAGGTTCAAGAGCACAACCGCTTTTGGCAGGAGCCTTAAGATCTGGCAGGCGTTCCTTTCTTTTTTGCTGCATCGCAGCGGCCTCGGTCCCTCGCCCCGGGACGCTCGGCTGCCAGCGAACCACGGCGTCCGTCCCTCCTGCCATGAGACTGGAATGGCCCCTATCAGAGGCATGACACCGAATCTTTCCCGGTCGACTTTTCCCCGCCTTCCCCGGTTGGCTAGGAGAGGCCTAAGTTGCAGAAAATGCCCTGCTTGTGGACTGTGGTGGTAGCTCTCCACGCGTCTTGTGTATTTTCAGAGCTTGTGGTAGCCGTCTGTTTTTTGTATCGGGGCTGGCGAAGGGGGGTTGCTACCTTTCCATTCAGTACACAACAGCATACAATACAGTACTGTATGCAGCGCATGACCGCGGCGGGTTGTCCGTGCGGGTATAAGACCGTATAAAAGAGTGGCGATACCTTGCACCAACACCCTTTGATGTGTCATGTATGTACTTAGTTCAGGGCGTTTTCCACTGCAACGCTTATGCTCTTTTGCATTTTGAACTTTATAAATTGCATTCGGGTTCTGATAGATGCTTCAATTAAAGGGAGTTCCAGCTGCAGTTCGATGAAACGGCATGGAAGACTCGGATAACTTTATAAGCTTTGGATGTCCGTTGTATGCTTAGTACAGTAAATTCGGATGTGAGATCCTGTAGGACTGTTATATAATAGGTGATAAAAATGTTACTTTCTGATTGGGATCAGAAGATCATTAGAAGAACAGTAATAATTATTAAATTAGAGCAAGGTAAAGGGAACTTAAAACAAAAAAACCCTTCTGGTAGGATTGTATTTGTCAATATTTCCAGATTTTATAGATCATTTTAAAATTAGATAATTATGCTTTTCAACAGAAGGAATTAGGTGTGGGAAATGGACTTGAATATATAATTCTTATAGCCCTTTTTGCATTAAATAATAATTCTATAAAACCCTCCAGAGTACTTTAAAAAAATTAAATTCAAAAATTGAGTGGTTAGGGATCAGTGTTTTAAACTACGCAAACCCTGAACAGGAAAAGCATTCTGCTCAAAAGTGAATTGAATGTTGAAGGATATGCAGGACAAGATAATAGTACATTAGTTTGCTGATTTATTACGGGATTTGCCTTTTAATTGTTTACAGTTTGGGGATAATAATGTATTTTAAATGGAGAGGACTTCAGAGAAAGTTGTGAAAGCTCTTATAGGAAAATTTTACTTATTATGTGAAATTGGCTTAGGATCAAATATATTTTTCCTATAAGGTTAATGAAGTTTATGAATAAAATATTTAAATTTTTAAACAATCTGTTTATTAATATTTTAGAAGAATCATTAGCATAATGCAAGATTGCCATTCTTGTTTCTGAACATAGCTCAAATGGTAGAACATACAAATGCTTTGAATATCTGTGGTTCATTCATTGACATTTTTAATGAAATTGTAATGGGATTTTAAGAGGAATCTTTGTAGAAGCTTTGCAAGATAGATCATGAAGACATTTCAGTGTAGCGTCAAACATGTAATATCCTAGCTGGTTTTAGACCAGCAAGATCTACCATAGACCAAGTATTAATCCTATAATACCCAGTGGAGAAATATAGTTTTGAATCATTTGTTCAGCTTCTGTAGATAGAAGAAAAACCATTTAACAACATAGATAAATGACTGCTTTTCCTAATATATAAACTTTATAGCAATACCAACAACTCAAGGGATAAGATTTGGTTCCCAAAAGCAGTTCGCCAACTCAATTTCAACAGCACAAGGATTAAATTGTATTGTTGCCCCATGTTTTGTAATTTACACAGCACCTCAATAATGGCAACTTTCACCCACTAAAATTAGCTGATGGGTATCCTTCATTTTTCCTGCATGATGACATGGTTATTCTGTTATTATCTGTGATAGGGATATAAAGAGTCCTTTGCTCAATATTGTGAAAAAGGAAAATTGAATCTTTAACAAAAATCCTCAAAAGCATAGTTGGTATATCAATGACTAAACAAGTCAAATATTTTAACTACCTGGAAATGATCTTTCACAGGTTGGAATGCAGGGCCTCACATTTGGCCCATATATTGTAGGTTGTCTAGAGGAATGCCACAGTGAATTGTCCTTTCATTTCTGCAAAGCCATATTTTTGAGACAAAAGCAATGGTATAACTATTATTTTGGATTCCAGTGAGGCCTTACACTAACTGTAGCCCAGAGGATATAGATCAAGTTCTTAAGATTAATCATGCAAGTGCCTAGATGTGTATCTAACTCAGTTTTAAGACTAGAATGAGGAATAGGATAGAAGCTAAGATTTGGGTCATTATTTTTAATTATAGACTAAAAGTACTCTTTAAGCCAATAGGCTTAACATCCCTCATTATCAAAGATCACTTCCAATCCATCTAGAAGCCTATGACTTTTGTAATGAGCCAATACAAAGATGGGATATAACCAAGTAAAAAGATCATTGAAGGAGAGCTTCTTTGATGTAGGATGGTAATATGACATTAATTTAGCACCAACAGTACATGGTTTGGAAACTCTTCTGCAAACAAACCAATTATATGTTAATCTCACATAACAAACATTGCAGAACATTTGCTTTCGCCAGAGCAACTTTTGCATCTCATTTGGAAACCAAGAATCCAGAGTTTGGAGGAAGAATGGAGAGGCCAATCAAGCACAGTAA